ATCGCCAATACCATTCTAAACAAAAATAGAATGCGTGGCTCATCCTGAAAAGGCGCTGTTCAACGTCGATCATATCAGTTTACTTTTTCAAACAATAAAACCTAACGAATTAGAACGACAAACAATGTTTAGCACAGCTAAAACCGTTTTTAAAACATGCAAACTATCAACGAGAGGTACCCGTGAAAACTTAGAAACCTAGTAGAATCCCAGGATAAAGAAATATATCTGAGCCTTGCAGGTCGCAAACGTGTAGTTCTTTACCAGTGATTCGATTGGAGAGAGAAAACAACGTGAACTTGGAAGAAAAATAAACATGGTAAACAATAGCCGTATGTAATTTGTATGGGTTCGACAAGCAGTGAGAGTGGCTATCCGTAAAACTACCGCTACGCTCTAGAATTCAAGTCAGGCATGGTTACAACCGCCGGAGCCATGAGACGAGATTGTCGGCTTTCAAGATCATGTCTAAGTTCCTGAAAAAAAGGACTGATCAGTTCCAAACAAACATCCATTTATGTTCTTTGGTGCCACCAATATGAATCACTGACTTACACAAAGAACTAAAACACCCAAATGATATACACAGAACATACACCCAAACGGTAAATAGTGTTGATAGAGTCGTTGACCCTGCCATTTCACCATACATATTTCCGTAGGAAATGTAAAACTCCACCCAATTTCTGAAGACCGCCTTCCCTACGAACCCGACTCCACAAACCCACTAGAGCCTCCCTCTGAAAACCTCAATGGAAGGTTATCATGGAGAATTTCACAACTCGATGCCGGTTTGATCCAGGGTCAACCGTCCGTTGGACAAAGTCCAACAAGGTGGGTCGTATTCGGCCGACGAAAAGGGGGGGGTCGTATCGAGGCCCTCCAGAAAGGGGGGGGGGTCGTAAAATTTTTGAAATTTGTCCAACGTGACGGTTGACCCCGGTTTGAGCCCCTATGCAGCATTTTCCCGTCTGAGATGGTTGTCCCTTGACCTGGGGATGCGGTGTGCAGTGGCATGCTGGGGAATTATTGCACTCTGAATATGTTGCAAATGCTCTTTAATATACCGAATTGTGAAATCAGCACTTCTTGAAGAATGATTTTGTATTTTTTGTTGTACATTTTATAACGAGCAAAAGCATTCTAAAAAGCTGCGCCACGTTGGAGCGACTACTCAGTACTTTGAACTCCTTCATTTCAACGAATATATGGAAAGTCATGGGTGTACAATCCTTGGATAATAACATATAGACGCATTTCGTGAGCTACAATTCAAGGAGACGGCAAACCTTTCAACCTATACTTTAAATGAGTCGAAACGAAAGGTAGAAAGGGATTTCAGTTCAGAAAAAGTGAAACCTTCAACAGCTTTATAAGAACGAAATTTGGGGGGTTTGAGCCTTTTTTTTTTTAAATTTTTTTTTTTTTTTTTTTTTTTTTTTTTTTTTTTTTTTTTTTTTTTTTTTTTTTTTTTTTTTTTTTTTTTTTTTTTTTTTTTTTTTTTTTTTTTTTTTTTTTTTTTTTTTTTTTTTTTTTTTTTTTTTTTTTTTTTTTTTTTTTTTTTTTTTTTTTTTTTTTTTTTTTTTTTTTTTTTTTTTTTTTTTTTTTTTTTTTTTTTTTTTTTTTTTTAATTAAAATTATTAATGAAGTATTATAAAATACAATAAAAACGAAAGAGCCCTAAGCCAATGCCACCTTAAGAAAAATATTTGGATAAAAGGGCGGGTTTTGGTCCCGTGAGCTTGAGGTTATTTATTTGCGAGTCCCTCAATCTATTTTGCGCAATATCTGGTGAAGCTCCCGGGGACCAACCCGCCCTTTATCAATTTTTCCTAAGTTGGTCAGTTGTTAAGGCTCTTTCGTTTTTTATTGTATTGTAATTGTCTCATCTAGATCGATTGTTGATGTAAAATTAGCATGTTTGTATTTGTAGACCTGAGGAAGGGCTTAAGGCCCGAAACGTCGTCCCATAAAGCTGTTTGAAGAGTTTCATTTGAATTGATGGCAAAGAAATTAACACAATGAAGCTCAGGTACACTTTGATCTTGAACGAAAAAAAGGATAAAGAAGCAACCACAAACACCGAAAATGCGAACCTCCACTTCCTTGGAAGTGTGGAGAAACCTTAGCGCCCAGCAAATCAGCGCCGTGAAATCGGTAAATCCTGTTGGCAAACGCTCAGCCTTACTCCGTCTGGAGCTTCAGTCCAGGCGACCTATCGCCAGTCATGGAGAGGGAGTTTATGAGGGTTATGTCGGGAGATTTTTTCATGATTTTTTTTGCAGTTTTACTAATTGCACTCCGCTCCACTCATTAACTTGTTTTGTGGTAGTTGAACGCACGGAAGGCGGATATTAAGGAAATGAGTTGCAATAAGCTGTTCGGCGACATCATGTTCAACTTTATTTTCGCTCTTATCACTAGATATCGTGCACCATCTTCAAAAAAAAAACGTTACAATTAGAGGAACTCACTCTCAAGCTTTGTATCTTCGCATTACAAATACAAACTTCATTCTCTTGTACAGCGACCAATGCAGCAGCCGTTTTCATTTTGATAAGCTGTAAGATGCTGGTGCAATAAATGGAAACAACGCGTTACAAAGACAAAAAAGAACCAAAACCGAGAAAAACACACCTCAGCGACGAGCTTATTTTCCAGTGTTAGCGACTGCGCCACAAGGTCACGCTAAAAGTGGTTTAGTTTACAACAAGTACTATAAGGTGACGTAAAATTGGCTGAAGCACGCTGAAGGGTGTCATAAGAACGAGAAAAACATAACACCCACCATCTCCGGATCGATATCCAAGTTCAGCTCAATCTCCTTTTGACGTGCTAGTTCAGCATTATAGAATGTTCGCCACGATGTAACGGCATCTTCTTCTTTTGACTGAAAAACCGAGATTGGACTTCAATATAGATGTACCACTACTCATACTAAATGGCCAGCTACGTAAAGGCAACCAATAACACCAATTATAACAGCAGTCAGATTAGGTTGAGGAAGAGAAGCAAAGAATACCACGGACCTTTTTCACCGGCGGCTTCTTCTCGTCCTCTTCAACCTTGGTTGATGGAGTGGTCTCCTCGGCTGCATCAGTGCTTACCCGCTCCCTTTTCACAGGGCCCGGACGATTGGACGCTTCCGTTGTGGGACGAGGACGAACAGGAGTTGCACGACCATTGGACTCATCATTGACTTTCTCACGAGGCTCTTTCTTTACGACTTGCTGTGCCTTCAAAAATTTCCAAGATACGCGCAACCACCAAAAGCAAGCAAATAGACAGTAAACATGGAACTTACTGATGACTCTGTATTCGCCTGCGATACAGGCGCTTGTTGAGAAGCTGATGATGATGTGGGAACATGTCGCGTTTGCTGCTGTGACGACGGTGGTGTTGCTCTTCGGAGAACGGTCCACATGGGAATCGATCCCTTGAGAATGGTTGGTGTGAAGTGGTTTGGGGATGATATTGTTGATGTTGTGGTTGTGGAGTTTGTGGTGACCGCTGAACACGGCTCAAATGTGGCGCGTGTGTATCATGTTGATGAGGAACAGAGGTGGTCGGAGGCGGAACGGCAGTGAACGCAGGAGGGAGGCGCCGGGATTGGCGGATTAATAGGATGAAGCGGTGGAGGCGCTCCTGAAAACATTTGCGTACACTCGCTATTAAAAGCTTCAATCTCTATCCTTCCTTTTCGGATCTCTTTGACATTACTAGTATAATTTGAGTCAAAACTCATCGACGACGTGCAACCACTTAATTTTCCTGGGGTAAAGTAAATACACTCAGGGAATGTGAATAGATTTGCACTGCCGTCGATTGAGTCATTTCTCAATCGTTCACATGTCAAAAAAAGGTTTCGAAAAGAGTGAACAAAAGATGAAAAACAGTTAAAGGGTTATAGTGTAAGCTATAGCCAGTAAAAGTCGAGTAAGAGAACTTTGATAAATGAATGGTTTTGTCAGACATTCTTTGGCGGATTTCACCTGACAAAACTCAGAGTGAATTTGACAGCGAATAATCGTTAAATTATAATATGTCTTTGAAAAAGGAAACTCTTGGACTAGCACGTTTCTATGATACAAAAATTTTTTTTCTGAAACACTATCTTAAAAAATGGAGCGGCCTTCTGTGTTGAGAAGTAAATATACACCATTGTAAAAACTTTTAGATATTCTCACATGTAGATTTGGATTTTGCTTGTTTACAGAAGTGAACATACCGCCCAGTGGTGAGTCGTGTGGTAATTGAAGGGTTGGGTGGGAGAAGTATGGGACGACATGGGGCTCGCTGGAGGATTGAACGAAATAGAAAAATAGAACTGAATAAGTAATAGCTAATCTGAAGTGAATTCAAAGTAGGCTTAGTCTACGTTTTTACTAATGCGGAGGTTATGTAGTGGCGTGTGTTAGGCTTGTGTTTACCGAGGAGAATAGGTTGCGGCGGTGGATGTGTATCTCTAGCTGGAGGATTGTAATCGTGTGTAACAATTCGAAGTTTTGTATAAACATAAGATGTTTCAAATATAATTATTATCAATAAATAAGTAATTGAATTTACGAAGTATGGATGGGGCATCTAGATGGAGAACTAATTCGCGGCTAGGAATCGGATATGGAAGATTTGGAGGTGGTTGAAATTGGTTGTAGGGAGGGAATGGAGGCGGTGGCGCTAAAAGCTCAAAATCGCTAAAATTCTATGCAACAAAAGGGAAATGAGAAATACTATCGTAATGTGTAAGAGAAGCACACAAAAAGTACCATTCATAGGGCCGACCGGGAATCCTGGTGGAGCAAATGGAGGAGGAAAGGCGAAGGGAGGAGGGGTCATGAACATTGGCGGGGAGGAACCACAGAAATGTGTTGTTGCTGTGCTACCTGAATAGTCAAAAACCAAACTGAAACACATTATATCGAATATAACACAGCTTCAATGCACATTCGTTATTTATAAATGAAATAAACTAGAGATTAAAAAGGAAAGAAGCAATTGAGAGAAACTCAGAATAGGCTTGAATTAAAATCAATAAATGAAATGAACGTGCCATTTTGCACTTTCATGATGAATTATGATAAACATCAAATGAAACGCACTTGTTGCTGCATCCTTTCCTGTTCAGCACTTAGACGCTCCTGCTCCGCTAGACGCAGCTCGTATTCCCGCCACTCCTTGGGTTTCTCCCATTGAGAGACCTAAGACAGATTAATTTCTGTGGAAGGAATTAACGCAAACAACATTATAAAGCAATTTCTGCGTCTTTTTTCATGAATAGAATCGGAACTCAAAAAATTCTTTGCTAAAATTGTATAACATTTTGAACAATTTACAATCAACAATTTTCAATTTTTTTTCTCAATGTCTTCCTTCCTTCAACCAGCTATTGTCAATTATCTTCGCTAACCGTGGATCTCATTTTTCAAGTCCTCAAACTTGATAAGATTGTAAGCGCTCTTTCAGAGGGAAGTGGCGGGGGAGGGAAACATATTGGTGCAATAGTACGTTGCGGCTAATTTTTGTGATCCTAATCTTTTTCACGGCTAGGTTGCTCCATTTTAGTTGAACCATATAGCTTTCGACTTCGCAACATGCCCTTGAGCTTCCTCTCACCGCACAAAATTTTAGGATTAACTTGACAGGCGTGACGAACTAAGCATAGGAGCTCCCTTAACTGAAAGGGGGCCTGTTTGGAAATGCACTTAAGAGACTATTGTTAGCAGAAAGGAGAGGGAGGAGACGGCGGAAGTCAAGAGCGCTAAACGGGGTACGAGTTGCTTTTTTGCAGCATGCTTGATTGATTGTTTTGGAAAAGTATCCGAGCCCTGCTCTTCATAATTATACTGCCAGAAGTTTGCCACCTGTGGCATGCTGGTTTCTAAGAAAATTGGGGTAGAAAGCCTGTAAACGGAATAAATGTCGGAGGTGAAGAAAAGATTTAGTTCCGATTCTGCACCACTCTTAACGTGTAATCGGAATGAAAAAACAACTGTATCCTTCATCTTCAGTAAAAATCGTACAAGAGAGGCTAAAACTCGTTCAAAACAGTTAAGTGGAGCAATAATAAGGCTGATTGGCGTGGTGCATCTCATGCACTCGAATTACGACCAGAAAGACATACCCCTACGGAGAACGCACAAATTGTTCAAGTCAGCTGTTCTTCCTCACCCCTTGAGATTTATGGCTTGGCCCCCCTTTTATGAAACAAAACCAGAAAGTTGTTGACGTGAAAAAAAGAGGCGCCTTGAGGTCTTAAAAAGGCCAAGCGGTTTTTTTTTATTTTTTTTTTTCTTGCATCATATGCGATCGCGCCGGTTGTAATGATGGTGGGGTAGTTACCAATCCCAATGTTTCTCAAACACGATAAATAACTGGAATTGAACGATAAACCAGAATTGTACACGATGATTCTTATTGATTTGTTAAAAAATTTTCGAATTAATGTCATTCATTCCTTGTTCTCAGATGGTTTCGCATATATTCTTTTGCTTATACCGACTTGTTAAGTCCGCACGTTCCCGTGCAGCCAGTCGTGTATACAAATCAAATAAATGTTGGATTGGTGTTCGAGGCGCTCCTTTTTCTCAAACTCGGCCCAAGAAAGCTATTATACAACATGAAAAGAAGTGTGAAGAATTGCAGTGGAATTCGAACAGCTGCAGTTTATTACAGGACATTCGGATCTACAGGCACCAAAACATAGATGACTAGCGTCCATACTCAAGACAGTTACCTTCAACTGACGCCTCAACACCCAAATGTTTCCCTCTGCTTAGAAGGCACCGGAAATTCCTCGAAATGGTCCACTTATCACTCCTTCACCAACGGAAAGAAAACAAAAAATCACCTCCGTGTCGCGATTGTAGAAGTACTTTCGCCCAGATGAGCTTGTCTGCTCAGACCAGCCCCGAATATAAATAAATTGATTCTTTCTCTGAAATCCGTAATCTAACTGCCTATCCATAAGAAAAAAAAAAAGAACCTTCGCCCAATGAAAATATATTACTTACCACCATTGTTTCATCAGAAGAACTGAAGTGTAAGAGTCAAACCAGACTCTGTGGAAACGCTGGTCAAACTGAAGGGAACTGCTGGAAGGATAAAAGTGAAACAATTTACATCGGGCTCAAGAAACAAAAGATAGCACTTTGTGAATGTTAACATACTAGCAGATAAATCAACGGTTACAAACAATCTCCAGCTAGGAGTAATGTTTATAAACACACACGCAATAAATTAAAAAGGATTCAGACCAACAAAGCAGTCAAAGTATCGCAATCACGAATGCAATTGCAATTGCAAGCCAAAGGTGTGTGCGCTTGCGCGTCGTTTCGCGTGCGTGCGGGTCAAATGCGGACAAAACACTGACCTGGGGCCATGGAGAGCTCTTTGGAAGGACAAAGGTCTACACCTTTTGCTCGCAAGCAGAGATGATGCAGATAATGACGAATTTTCCTTGACGCTCTTGGAAGATGGAAAAATCAGAGGGATTTTCTTCTAGGGAAATTCGGCGCTAGGGCGCTACGACCCCACTGCGAGCAGACCGGGAAGAAATCAGGGCCAACTCCAAAAGTTTACGACCCACCTCCTCCAGAGGGTGTTGATACGATCTCTGACCACTGCTATCAGCCTTACACGATTCTCTCAACCTCCTTCCCAACCCCCGACCACCGCCCTCACCATATGGCTGTTTCTACAGTATTTGATCCTGAGACCAGTTGACACGGCCCACTTTGCTCACCCACCCGCTAAGTCCCCCTTCACCAAAAACGGAGGGGGAGGGGCAAATATATTTATCGAAGCCCTACAAACCCTATAATTTCGATCACATCATGCTTATTTTCAGAAAAAAAAACTTGTCAAATCGTCCCTCCTCTCCCATCGCACCACAATCCATCCGACTTCTAAAAACACGACCCCACTTTTTCCAAGCTTTTAACCGTCACCAACCCTATAATACGCCCTGCTCCCTCCAAAAATTCAAATACGACCCTCCCCACTTCGTCGAGAACTGCGTAACGCACGGTTGACCCCGAGTGAAATTGCTGCTGAAACTTTTACAGGAGTGATTGACCTCCCACTTAAAAATACGACATTTACAGTCCAAATCTTGCTGTCTGAGTAGGCATGTCGGAGGAAATGACGTGACAAGCGCTGCACTTGGTAGACTGGTGTCAGAGCCGATTTCTGTGATACGCGATTCACGCGATCGCGCGACGGATCGCCAACTCTGACGCCAGCCGTAGGGCGCATTCATAGTCGGTCGTCCGATCGCAACGATCGTAACGATCGCACAGCATTAGATACGTATCGATCGTCTGACCTCCGCACGTCTGACGATCGATACGTATCTAATGCTGTGCGATCGTTACGATCGTTGCGATCGGACGACCGACTATGAATGCGCCCATAGAAGTCGTGCGC